GACAATTGGCAGGAGTGAAGCTCCGGCCCCCTCCCCATCCCTCGGACTCTCCCGCTGCAGGGCAGCTTGTCTAGTCCCCCAGGCCGCCCAGGGCAATGCCAGCGTGGAGGGTGGGGGTGTCCAAGCCATTCCCAGGTCTCCCGCCCCACCGTGGGCATCTGCCTACAGCTATGGCCTTGTCTCCCCAGGTCTTGGGACCTGGGGTCCTGCTGGAGTTCTGCGTTGGAGGGTCGCACCTCAGTTGTGGGGCCCAGAAGTGCCTGAGGTCACCGAGCCCAGCCGCCTGGTGGGGGAGAGCTCCGGGGGAGAAGTCCGGAAGCAGCAGTTGGACACCAGGGTCCGCCAGGAGCCACCCGGTGGCCCCGTGAGTGGGGCTGGGAGGGGAGGCCAGGGGGCTGGAGCAGGCCTCAGAGCCCAAGGGAGGCCAGGGGCAGCCAAGGGTTGGGCGCCTCCCAGGCTGCTGGCTCCTGATGCTTCCCTTTGTACCATGGACACCATGGAGCCCACTAGTGGGAGCGCCCACCTGCCCCGCTCCAGGCCCCTCCATCATCCTGGGGATCCCCTGCCCTCAGCGGACTGAAATGCCAGGGCTCAGTCCAGTCTTGGTCAGCCTTTTGCCAGCCCCCACTCCGCTCCTGCCAAAGCAAGTGGTTCTATCCAAACGGGCCCTGGGGAGGGCAGGAGGGGCAGGGAGAAGCAGCGAAGAGCCTGGGGTCAGAGTTCCTGGGTTCTTGCCACAGCCACTCGTAGTGGGATTTTTCAGAACAGCTTAGTGCTTGCTCCTGCCTCAGTTTCCCCCTTGCGCTGATCGGCATGTTGTTCTCCTTCCTGCCCTCGCTGAGGGTGGGGCCTTGGAAAAAGGTTCCAGGCCCCAAAAAGCACACCCACAAATGCCACCACCCCCTGTCCCTTTCAGTTGCCAGGCCCCTCCTGCCTCCCAGAGGAAGGTTAGGAATGAAGGAGATTAATTGCAATTAATAATTAATTAATATCATGTGAATAATAATCACCCAGATGGAATATTCATTCAGCACGCCTTGCCTCAGCTCTCCAGGAGCTCAAAGCTGAAAGTTAGCCAGGCCACCGGGGGCGGGCGGAGGGCGGGATGGGCTGGTGAAGGGCTGGCAGAAATAGGAGGAGAGACTCTGAGGAGGCTGGGAAGTTTGGGCAACTGAAGTCTTGAGTGGTGGGAGGTAACTGTGGTGGGAGGTAACTGGGCCGGGCAGAGGGAGGACGGAGGGAAACGGAGGCTAACTGTGGACATCTGTCAGACTGGCATCTGGCCCTGCCTAATGTACTTGGTTAAAAGCCCTTAGGGGGGGTGGAGGGGCTGTGGGGGTGCAGGGGCGGCACTCGGGAAATGGAATGGAGCAGGAAGGCAGCATGCATAATAGATGGACCATCACTCAGGGCAGTGCCGAGTGGGGGGAGGGGGAGTTAATGGTCCTGAGCCGGCAGGCCTGGGTGGGGTGGGGGTGGGGGGCGACAATCGGGGAGTGGAAGGTGGGGGGTGGCAGGGAAAGGGGTGGAGGCTGCCTTCAGCACCTACCCAGGCTCCCTAGGAGGTGGTAGATGGGCAGTAGGGATGGCCCCAAGGCCAGGGATGGGGTGTCCTGGCTGGGTATGGCCATTAGTCTGACTCTCTTCCCTGGTGGACCCCCACCTGTGAACTGTACACCCCCAGGCTGTGTTGGCCAGGAGGTGACTGCTGGGCCTGAGTGCCAGGACTCCTGTCTGGTGCTTCGGGGGATGTCCAGATAGGACAATAGGCTGATGCTGCAGGTGGGGCCGCGGACAAAGGGAGAGAAAGCATAGGACTAACTAGGGAGGAAGAGTGGGTGCTCCCTCAGCATAGTCCACCGGAAAGGGGGCTGCTCTGGGGGATGGTGGTGCCTGTGCGTGTGGGGAGAGCTGGATGGGCCCAGTTGGACTGAATGGACTGGGTATGCAGAGGAGGGAGTCTCTTTGGGTGTCGCTTTGCTGGTGAGCGGGTGACATGTGTGATGTGTGTATGAGGGACCAAGTCTGAATCTGCCCACGGGGTTGTCCGAGGAGGTGGGGTGGAGGGTTCTGTGGATCTGGGAGGCAGTGGCCACCTCCGGTGGGGGAGAGGCTCTCTGGGATTCAGCCTTCACAGGTACCCCTCTGCAGCCTCCCCAGGGAACTCACTCATAGGCTGGCCTTCTTTGTACCTCAGTTTCCCTCAGGTGGAATTCTCACAAGTCTGTAAGGCAGGTAACTTTTGTCTGCCCATTTTGCAGATGAGCAAACTGTGGCTCAGAGAAGTTAATTAACTTGCCCAAAGTCAATCAGATCCTAGAAAAACAAACAAACAAAAGAAACAAAGTCAATCAGATCTTAAGCAGTGGAGTACTTTTCTCAAGACCCGCTACTGCCCACGGCCCCCAGGGACTCTGGATTTTGGCACTGCGGGCAGGTCCCAGCCCCACCCAATGCAAGGTGGAAGGCCAAGGGAGATCAAAGGACGTGTCCAGAATACTTCCCCCGACCAGAAGGAGACGTTGCAAACCCTCTATCTCCCACCTGGCGTCTCTCCCTGGAGCACTTGTGGCCTCAACCTCGGGGCTGATGGTGGAGGCAGTGCAACCTTGAGCCCAAGTGTCCCAGCAGGAATGCCCCTCCCTGGCGCCGTGGGGCTTTGTCCGAAGTTATTGCACTGGTTTAGGACCTCAGGCCAAGCAAGGCGATGGGTCAGCAGCAAGACCTCCATCTGCTGTGGGTCATGTGGTGAGTGTGGAGGCACATGTGGCTGGCAGGGCCAGCGTGGTGGGGCCTGAGTGCCGCCTGCTCTGGCCTTGGGCTGGCCGTGGCACCTTTCTGAGCCCATGGTAAAATCAGGACGACGATGATGATAGTCTCAGCTCACCCACTACCAGGAATTGGTGACAGGAAAGGGTTTGGTGTGCGAGGACTCCTGGCTTTGGTGAGGGGGGACTGGGAGGAGGTGACCAGGCAGGAATTAGAAGCTAGAGAAGTTACAACGTACTGGGAACTTACTGGGGCAGGCACTCTTCTATGTGTATTAATTTTTTAAAATTAACTTTTAAAAATATTTTTATTGATATTTTAAGGGAAAGAAGAAAGGAGAAAGAGAGGGAGAGAGAGAAACATCAATGGGTTGCCTCCCTTATGGACCCCGACCCGACAGGGGACCAAACCCCCAACCTGGGCATGTTTCCTGACCAGGAATCAAACCCAGTGAGCTTTGGGTGCATGGGGCAATGCTCAACCAACTGAGCCACACCGGCCAGGGCTACGTTTATTAATTTATTTCATCATCACAACTCCAGGAGATGTTGCTATTATTATTTCCGTTTCACAGACAGGGAAACCGGCACAGAGAAGTGAAGTAACTACCCCAGGTCACACAGCACTTAAGTAGCAGAGTCAAGATTGATACCCAGAGAAGCACTCTTTTTTAAAAATATATTTTTTTATTGATTTCAGGGAGGAAAGGAGAGGGAGAGAGAGAAACATTCATGATGAAAGAGAATCATCGATTGACTGCCTCCTGCACTCCCCTCACTGGGGACTGAGCCCACAACCCAGGCATGTGCCCTGACCGGGAATTGAACCGTGACCTCCTGGTTCATGGCTTGCCCAGGCTATGCAGTCAGAAGCAAAGGATCTGGGACCCTCTGAGGCTCAACCTCTAAGCCACACCGGCTGGGCTCCAGAGCAGCACTCTTAACCAGCGCACTGTCTGCTTCTCGCTCAGGGGTCTAGGGAAGAGGGGCACAGGGGACCCATTTTCCTCTCTGTAACTGCTCTCAGCACCTCACTCTGTCCAGAGGTGTAGGTTCTGGAAGTGCAGAAACCTGTGGTCACAGGGAGCCTGCAGCTGGGGGGCGAGGCAGGAGGACAAGCAGGGCCACAGTGGACCAGTGGGCTGGTTGTTCGGAGCACAGGGTGCCCGGCAAGTGGGCTGAATGAAATCAGTGGGCCCGTGAGGCTGCTGCATTCTGAGGGGGACCCTTCTAATCCACACTAAACTGCTGTGTGGGTTGTGCTTGCCCCTGGGAAACCCAAACTCCTTCCGAACCAAGGAGAGGGCAGGATGTGGGTAAGAGAACAGGGCTGTTTGGGTGTAGGGTCCCAGGCCCAGGAGGCAGACCCTCAACTGAGCCAGCAGGGGGCGGGGACCTCAGTCACGGGGCTGAGCTCCCCTGAGAACAGCGCAGACCAGCATTTACTGGAAATGCCACCCTGGAAGCCCTCCGGCAACGCCTGTGAACAGCACTGCCGTGAGGTTGGGCAGAGGGAGCGTTCACGCAGGAGGCTAAACAACTTCCATCTGAAAGGCTGCCCCTGTGGCTTTGGAGCAGGACAGCCTCGGGGAGTCCCAGCTCTCCCCGCTTCTGACTGCATGGCCTGGGCAAGCCGCTGCTGCCTTCTGAACCCCACCTTCCCCATCCATAAAATGGGGATCACAGTCAGCTCCACTTTGCCCTGGCTGCTGTGAAGATCAGAGAGGAGGTGTGTACAGGTGTCCTGCCTAGGATCCGGCAAGAGCAGATGCTCAACATCTGTGAGGCCTGGCCTCCCTCCTGAGTGTTGGGGCCAGGTGCTGGCGTGAGGGCTGGGTGTCAGAAACGGGAGCCAGGGCATTTGGGGGTTACCTCTCAGGCTCTGGGCGGGGTTCAGGGGAGCCATGTGGACAGGAGTCTTGCCTCTCCAGCCAGACTCAGGCCTGTGGACTTGACCTCCCTGCTGGCTGCCTAGAGGGACCCAGCTGTCCAAAGTCTGTCTTCAGAGGGACTAATGACCCTGTAAGGGAGTGACTCTGTCCTCAAAAATTTAGGCCAGATCTGGTTATCAGAAATGCATCCAATTCTTCTATCTGGGACGCCCTCGGCCCTGATCATAAGTGGAGCCTCATTGCACCTTGGGGAACGTGGGGGAGTTGCAGCTGGGGGAGGGGATTTCTCCCAGGTGGGCCCCTGCTTCTCTGGCTCCTCCCCGTCTGCAAGCTCATGCGGTTTAGCCAGTTCCTCAAAGCTCTGTTCAGCTGGACCATTTACACTTCCTTCTTTTCACTTATTATTATTACAAATCCTTGTGATAATAACACATTAAAAAGGGCTTTCATGCCCTAGCCCCGTGGTCGGCAAACTGCGGCTCGAGAGTCACACGCGGCTCTTTGGCCCCTTGAGTGTGGCTCTTCCACAAAATACCGACTTCTGCACATGGGCCACGAAGTTTCAATCGCACTGTATGTGCGCGCCCGCACGTGGTATTTTGTGGAAGAGCCACACTCAAGGGGCCAAAGAGCCGCATGTGGCTCACCAGCTGCAGTTTGCCGACCACTGCCCTAGCCGCTTTGGCTCAGTGGATGGAGTGTCA